GGAAACTTGTGCCCACAGTATATACAGTATTCTGAAGAAGGTCTAAAATGTCACTGTGTGTGCATGTGTGTGTTTTATGTATATGGATTTTTAAATTATTACTCATGATATATCATTGTCCAGACATGGCTGGTAAGGACATGAGGAGGAAACAGTAGGAGCTGTGTGAGGCTACTAAAGGTAGTGGATCCCTCAGCAGCTGGATTAGAAAGAGCACAGGTAACATTAACACATGTACCAGTTGTTGGAGAGGTATTCCAGTATAAACAAAAATAATAAGCACAACTGAAATGTTTTGCTTCTATAACATTTTTCTGTCATCATTTTATTATAGATTAAGTGTAAGAGTTGTTAAGTGTGGATAATTAAATAATGGTTTATTGCAATAGCAAGTTGTGCCTTGTTCTCAGATGGACAGCAAGTGGAGAGTGATATATGAAATGATGGGATGGAAGGAAGAAGAGAAGCAAAGAGTGATTCACAGTCTAGTTTATTTCTCAGTTTGTGTTGCCTTATGTCACCAATCTTTGCATTTTGTTATTATCTCATGACACTTGTTTAATCAGCTACCATCTCTCCTATGGAGTTTTAATGTCTACAGTCTCAGATCAGCACAGCCCTGCCCTCCAGCACTATCAGCAGCAGGAGCAGCAGCAACACCTTAACAGCAACATTGTACCCATCAGGTAAAACATAGGCTACGTTTGCTTTGCCTCGTTGCCCATATTAGATTCTTGATGAATGTGTGTTGTTGTTATTCAGCCTGGTTCAATGTGCCCCTTTTTAGCTTTGAGCACTCGCCCTTTAAACGTCTCTGCATGGCCCTGATAATTGATTAATCTAAATTGCCCATAGGTGTGAATGTGGGAGTGAATGTGAGAGCAATTGGTTGTCTATGGCTGTGTCCCTCCGTGTTAGCCCTGCGGCAGACTGGCCACCTGTCCGGGGTGTACCCCGCCTCTCACTCTAAGACAGCTGGGATAGGCTCCAGCACCTGCATCCTCCAGCATCCTGAAAAGGATAAGCAGAAACAAATGGATGGATGAATGGATAGGTGGATGGATTACTTAATAATGTAAATATTAAGATGAGATTATGCCCTTTGTAGGGGCCCCAAGGATGCCCAAATTTCATTATGTTAATATTAGCGAACATAGGCTAGATTGCTAGATATTGAAATCTATTTTAGCTTTCTGAGCCATGTTGCTTCTTGCCATCCAAGGAGTTAATGTACTTTGTGAATTCAGTTTGTTAAAGTTTCCTATTAATTGTTTATCTACAGTACATTTATTGACAGTGTGTTGAAGCACAGAACCAAACAGAATAAATTATGTTTAATTCCTTTTTTTCCAATCTTGGACATATTTGTTTAAAGAAGAAAAAGTCAGTACAAGTCAAATGAAAGAGTCGATATTTAATTAGAAAATTGTTTTAAATTGATCTGAATCAGTTTATATCTTTTATCTGTTGTAAATTCTTTTAATTGGTACAATTACCTTTGCAATGGCAGCACAAGGACAGAGAGAGAAAAAACATTCTTAATGAATACAGTATGTTTGTGTAATTGTCAGTGCAAAGAAAGAAGGAGGAGGAAGGAGAGGGATAGAGAGAAAGTGTCCAGGACCAGGAAGAACCAGGTGTGAAACAATAACCATTTAGCCAAAACAAAAAAAGAAAAAGAAAGCTTTTCTTTTTTCATTTTAAAGAATACATAAATTCTGGGTATTCTACAGGAAAGGAAACACAACTTGTGGCATAAATAATTTCAAGTACCTCCTTATTGGGAGCCATGGTTTGTTTGTTTTTTCTCTCACTCTCTCTCTCTCTCTCTCTCTCTTTTTTTTCGCTTTTCGCCACACATAAGTCTTGTGTTTGCGCTGAGCAGATGGGGAGGGGCAGTAGTTACACTCGCAGTAGCATAGGAACAGAGCAGGAGGGAGAGTGAGAGCCAGGGACAACAATAAGAGACAACATCGTCACATTAGAAAGGTACAGTAAAGAAAAAGATGACACCACGAAAAGAAGCAAAATGTGGAACCATTTCAATTTGTTGACAATACATAGGCAGCGTGTAGAGTCTGCTAGAAAAGGATATCATACAGAGCCGGCTCCATAAACAACCTGCACAGGCACCTGAGAACTCTCCAACCATCAGTGCAATGGGAAGATAAAACACAGTCAGTTGAGTGTGATATTAATGGTGTGTGTCTACTACAACTGTTGCTGTGGCTGCATCTACAGCATCTTGCAGTATACCACCACAACCACCTAAACCAACCCAGAGCTCTATTAGACAGTTTTTGCAGAAGTCTGTGATGCCAGCAAAACAGAACCCAATTGATAAAGACCTGGCAAAAATGATTGCACTTGATTTCCAACTATTTTCAGTTGTGGATGATAAAGGATTCAGAAAGTTTATTCACTGAATCCTATGACGTACAAGGTGGACTCACGCGCTGGACTCCGGGGATGATGCACACAAGAGAATTTATCACAGAACAATGTCCAATGATTGTATATACACAGATAAGGGGCAGTGCTATTTACAAGGGTGCGGGGCAGTGCTATGTACAAAAGGTGAGGGGGGCAGGGCTCCGGGGAAAATCCAGGGGAACACGCTCGTCTCTCTCCACACAATCCAGACACAAATCAGCACACCAGGAAAACAGTCCAGGGAATCTGTACACAAAGAGACGCTTGTTAAATGCTAAACACACACTGCATGGGAGAGAGAGAGAGCTGGCCGTGACAATGTATGCAATTCTAGGCAGGAAAACACTGTCCCAAAAAATCATCCCAGGCCTACATGAAAATATGTTTTGCATATTTTAATTTATATTTTATTGTGTTGTGGCTTGCCGTGTTTTGTTTTGTTTCACTTTAAATTTGTGTAAAAGGAAAACATTTAAAATTTAAATAGTTAAAAGTTGAATTATAAATAGTTGTTTTTGTATTTTATAATTATTTTTACATTAGTAAAATTAGTATTAGTATTACTAATACATTAGTATTAGTATTAGTAAGTGAATAAATAAAAGCATATAAAATAATAATAATAATAATAATAATAATAAAATAACAATAGGCCCTACGACAGACTGGCGACCTGTCCAGGGTGTACCCTGCATCTCGCCCCTTGACAGCTGGGATAGGCTCCAGCGCACCCCTGCAACCCTGAAAAGGATAAGCAGAAGCGAATGGATGGATGGATAATAATAATAATAATAATAATAACTATTCATAAAGCGCTTTCAAACAAATGCTGTACAACTAAAGAGATAAATCAAATAAAAGCGATACATAGCAATACAGGTAAAAGACACAATACAAGTTAAAAACAATAAAAACAACAATAAAAATTTATATGGTTATGTTCACAGAATTTGATTTAAAACAATTAAATAATTACTTAAACCCTGTGAACCCCAAATACACCTGATGAGTAATAAAAATAAAACAAGATAACAAATTAAAACAAGCATATACCAAAACAGAAGAGGTTAATCAACGACTGAAATGACAGCATGGTTTACAAGGCAGAGACAGAGCATGTCATAAATAGCATTCTACCAATACAAGTCACCACACATCAAAACCACACATTGGCCTATATGTAAGGCATGCAAAACAACATTTTCTGGGCAAACTGCCTCCTTCAATTAGTGTGTAAGCCGGTGTAAGGCTTTCAACAATCAAATCAAAAACAACCCTTATATGTTAATATGTGTAAATATATATGTTAATATAATATATATATGTATATATTATATGTATATATATATATATATATGTGTGTTGTGTATTATGTGTATATATGTTATATATATTATTGTGTGTTTGTGTGTGTGTTTATATTATTATCTATCTACTATTATATAGAGATATATATAGAGATATATAAATAAAAAAACACCAGCACGCCCCTGCGGGCGGTTATCCTTCAGCTCGGGTCTCTACCAAGGTGGGAGCTGAGGGCTCGCAGTATCTTAGCTGTTCCAGGACTGCGCTCTTCTGGACAGAGATCTCCGATGTTGTCGGGATCTGCTGAGCCACTCGCTAGCTGGAGTCACCGCACTAGCTCCGATTACCACGACCCGTTACCTTCACCCTCCCATCCTCTCGAGCTTTCTCTGAGCCTTGGTATTTCTCCGCTTTCGTGTTCTTCTTCCTGAATGCTGTCATTCGGACGCTACATCGTCATACGGCCGTTTTTCTGTTTCTACCACCACTATCTACACCCCATTTTGTCCGTCTGTATCGGAAGTCCACAGATCTCAGCTCGGTCATTCTCCACCACCCTTGGGGCATCTCCATTTTGACTCGGGACTTCCAGTTATACTCGCACAGATGTTCCTGTACCTATGCGCACTTGGTTATGCGTTCCATGTATGCCTTGCTGGTAGCATCTTGCACCCTGCTGTTATGTCTGGTGTCTCTGGGGCATCTTACACAGCCTGCACCTGGGGTCTTTTTTTTTATATATATATTATATATTTTTATTATATAAATACACATATATGTGTATATGTGTGTTTATGTTTATTATTTTTATATATATATTTATATATTATTATATATATATATATATTATGTGTTATATATATATGTTTATTATGTGTGTATATATATTGTTGTATATATTTGTGTATATTGTGTATATGTGTATATTATATATTATATATATGTATGTTTTTATTTTATATTTTATAATTATTTTTTTTATGTTATATATTTTTTATGTGTTATATTTATATATGTAATATATATATATATATGTGTTCCTCTCAAACTCTTTTTTTCTTTTACAGATTATTTTCTCTATCCTTTCACATGGGTATATAAATACACAGGCCAAGAACAGATCAAGTTTCAGTGGTAGCAGCTCCACAAACCAAATATTAAGTAGGTCATTTCCTCTGAGCGTAAAAAAAACCCCAGTGAGACGTTCCACTTAATATGTCCTGTGCTGCAGAGCTGAGCTCTCATAACCACATCCCCTCCTTTCATGCAATGGAAGAAATTTATGTCAATACTGAACATCTCAAATGTGTCAACCCAACACATTCAACAAATCACACAGGTAAGAAAGAAGTGGCACAAATTGGGGAGGAAAATGCTAAAAAAAGAGAGAAAAAAGATAATAGGTGTTTTAACATCTCTACTGTTTTACACTTTGTTGGGTCCCTGTTTTATTTTATATATTTATTTATTTTTCCTGTCTTTTCAGGTCAAAGGAGTTTCTATTTGGTTATTATTTTGTGTCTGAGCCTGCTGAGTGTCTTCCTGTTGGCTGGACTTGTCACTCTTGGTTTCTTCTGTAAGTTGTGTTGGTTATTGATATCTGTTCTAATGATCACAAGCTTTTCTTTTTCTTTTTTGGATAGCCCATAGTTTACCATTTTCTAATGAATATGGTAAACTTGGTAATGTTTACACAAAGTAAGATAAGTAAAACATTTTAGGATAAAATTAACAGAAGAAGTCAGAAGCTGTCAAAGAACAAATGCCTGGTGTTGTTTGAGTCTCAAAAACATGCATCCTACTTTTCTTTGTTTTAGATCATGATTCAAGGAAACTTCTGTCTGCTATGAATAACCGACTTTCCTCAATGAGTGAGGAGAGAGACCTTCAAAATGCAAA